GAAAACAAATCTCTGCTGTCTACACTGGCCCTTTGCGCAAAAGTTTTTTGGAAAAAGACTTTTGCCCGAACGGGAGCAACATGAGATCATCAGTGTTCTTGCGGAAATTCAAGCAGCCAGTGTAGACAGCTGGCAAGTTTTTCTGGAAAAGCAGCTGCTTTTCCGGAAAATGTGGCCAGTCTAGACACAGCCATTAAGTTTGCAGATAATACCAAGCTGGGAGGGATTGCAAGTGCTTTGGAGGACAATTATTTGGATCATAATTCAAAATGATCTGGACAAACTGGAGAAATGGTCTGAGGTAAACAGGATGAAGATTAATAAGGACAAATGCAAAGTACCACACTTAGGAAGGAACAAGAATGGGAAGTGACTGTCTACTCAGAAAGGGATCTAGGGTCATAGTGGACCACAAGTTAAATATGAGTCAACAGTCTGACACTGTTGCTAAAAAAGCAAACCTGCTTCTGGGATGCATTACCAGAAGTGTTGTGAGTAAGACATGAGAAATAATTCTGCTCCACTCAGCACTGATTAGGCCTCAGTTGGAGTATTGCGTCCAGTTCTGGGCACCACATTTCAAGAAAGATATGGCGAAATTGGAGAAGGTCCAGAGAAGAGCAACAAAAATCATTAAAGGTTTAGAAAACATGACCTATGAGGGAAGACTGAAAGAGCTGGGCTTGTTTAATTTAGAAAAGAGCAGACTGAGAGGGGACATGATAGCAGTTTTCAAGTATCTAAAAGGGTGTCACAAGGAGGAGGGAGAAAAATTGTTCTCCTTGGCCTCTGATGACAGGACAAGAAGCAATGGGCTTACATTGCAGCAAGGTAGGTTTACGCTGGACATTAGGAAAAACTTCCGAACTGTCAGGGTGGTTAAACACTGGAATAAATTGCCTAAGTAGATTGTGGAATTTCCATCACTGGAGATATTTAAGAATAGATTGGACAGACATCTGTCAGGGATAATCTAGATGATGCTTGGTCCTGCCATGAGGGCAGGGGACTAGACTCGATGTCCGCTCAGGGTCCCTTCCAGTCCTAGTGTTCTATGATTCTATGGAGACCTGTGGGGACTGTAGAAGTGAAGTTATACTAAACAGGGCTGCAGACAGGGAGTTGGGGGGGACAAAGGGGACAAAGGGCTGGTGATTTTAAAGGGCCTGGTGCTCTGGCTGCTGCTGCTACTATAGAAGGAGTGGCACCTGGAGCCCTAGGCCCTTTAAATCTCCACCGGAGTACTGCATGGCCACTCTAGGCAGCTCTAAGGGTGGGGAGGGGGTTGCTGTATTCTGGTAGTGTGGTGTGTTTGCTGCTCCACCCCTTCTGGGAGTGCAGAGATAGGGGCCTTCCATCTTGCCCAGGGGCCCAGTGTGTCTGTCAACTCCCCTGATGCCGAGGTGGGACAAGACAGGTTTTTAGTTCCTAGAAATCCCCGAGGGGTGCCAGTGGAAAGGGAGAGCTGTTCTTTTGTGTGTGATGCAGCCTGGTTCTATAATTGCAGAGGTTGCCAATTTATTTTAATACAGGTTGCACCTCCCAAAACTGGGACTCTCTTATTTGACAACATCCGGGCTCTGGATGTTCCTGAATGAGAGCGCCCCAGGGCAGGAAGGCCAGTAGCTGATAGCCCCATGCATGGTGAGGCTGGTGGTAAAAGGGCTGGTGTCATGACAGCCTGATCGGGGCTGAGTGCCAGCCTGGCAGCAGGGACAGAACTGCAGCAATCTGGCTGGCAGTAAAGCTGGGCTGCGGCAGCCCAGCAGGGAAAGCCTGTCTGGGGCCATGGCTGCAGAGCTGGGGCCGCGGCAACCCAGCTGGGGTCAGGGCAGGCCAGCAGGCTGATTAGGGCTGCGTGCCTGCCTGCGGTGGAGATGTGCCACAGCAGCAGGACAGGGCTGAGTGGTGACGTGCTGGCAGTGGGGCTGGAGCAGCAGTTCTGGGAGTGGGACTGAAGGAGCCAGCAGCGGGCAGGGGTGATAGGCTGAGGGGGCTGGTGGCTGGGAAACGTCCCCAATTCCCTCATCTGGGACAGCTCAGGTCCTGAGGGTGCTGGAATAGGGAGGTCCAACTCTTAGGGTTCTAGTCCCAGTAATTTACTATGGTCCTAGTTCTGTTCAGACTGAACAACAGAATTACAACTGACAAGCTCAATATCTTGTAGGAACCTGGGGTGCATGGAAAGGCATCTCACACTGAGGGCTAAGCAAAGCCTTAGCCACTTGTATTAACACAACCTGTAAAGACAAGAATGCTCCAAACCACGTAAACAAATGTCAGTAACATCTTTGGTATCATCCCTTGCATGTGCTCATACATTCACACCCTTCCTTGGGGATCTGGTGGCAAGAGGCAAAAGGACCATCCCTGTCCCTGCCATGCCAGATGAGCCCAATGGTCCAGGCCCCAATGTCCAAAGGCCAATGGTAGACAATGACAATGAAGAGCTGGAGGGTCAAAGAGGAAAGCTCACTACCCCATTGGTCTGGTGGCCCGGCCTAGTCCAGGGCCTGAATACTATCATGAAAACTCATTCAGGTACTAGGCTCCACATCCATATCTAACTTTTCACTCTCATAACATTGGGGTGTTTTTATCCTATAGGTTAACATATAAATGCCTTAGCACACGTAGCAGCTAGTGCTAAAGCAAGTTTGTGGATAAACATCTGCCCATGATTTCACCCAAAAACATCCAAGTCTAGTATCAGTTCAATAGTCCCACAGTTGTCTAATCTTGTTATGTACCAAGTCCTGTCTTAAGCTATTGCCTGTTCCCTGAATCTAGGGCCACTTTGGGGCTATTTTATTTAAGCGGAGGGTCACAGGCTTTTGTTTCACTTACGCTAGGGTTATCACATTTGAACTTTCAAAAAAAGAGGACACTCCTGAGAGGGAGTGTACGTGTATCAGTATCCACCAATTCACATTGTATCAATGTGATATAACACATTAATACAACGTGAGTGGTAGATACTGATACAGGTGATATATCACATTAATACAATGTGAGTGGTAGATACTGATACAGGTACACTCCCTCTCAAGAGTGTCCTCTTTTTTTAAAGTTAAAATATGGTAACTCTAACTTACGCTAACCTGCTTAAGCCAGTATCTCACAGGATACAGGCTCTTCCTTGCACTACTGCTAAGGAAAATAAAAGGCCACAGTAGCTCCGTGGGTTACAGGAAGCTTGGGTAAGGGCTTGGTGTATATTATCTTAACCTCTGTGTTTGTTTGCCTGGTGTTAATAAGTCACCATCCACCCGCTGAAAGGAATCCGCTCCTTTTATTTCCCCAAAAGCTGCAGAGGCATCATTACCCCCATGCAATTGTTGTTGAAAAAAAACAACCTAAAATGTTCTCACTGAATATTTCTCCCAGCTGGAGCCAACACATATCCAAGATACCCTCCAATTATATGGGGGCGAGGGGCCAGACAAAAATCTAGATACTGCAGCAGAAGCCAAGTTAAATACGCCACTTTGCCCTGCACACTTTTACCCAGGCAATCACAGGTAGCTTGGATGTATGTATGTATGTATGTATTTATTTATTCATTTATTACCATAGGGTGCTGCCTCATGCAAGATCTTTCCCTTCTGTGGGGCTTCATGGAGGAAACTGAAGGCAGAAGTTTGCTCACAGATGGGATGTGTCTAGACTACAGGGTTTTTTTGAAAAAAGTGGCCTTTTTTAAAAAAAACTGCCCCTGCATCTAGACTGCTGCCACGTTCTTTTGAAAGTAAATCGAAAGAATGCAGCAGTTTTTTCGACCGCGGAAAACCTCGTTTTACGAGGAATAACGCCTTTTTTTCGAAAGTGCTCTTTTGAAAAAAGGCACTATGTAATGCAAACTGGGCTTTTTCGAAAGAGAGCATCCAGACTGCCTGGGTGCTCTCTTTTGAAAAGGTGGCTTGCTTTTTCGTAAGTACTGGCTGTAGTCTAGACACTCTTTTTCAAAAGTATTGGTTGTAGTCTAGACGCTTTATCTTTCGAAAAAGCCTCTTTCGAAAGAGGCTTGCAGTCTAGATGTAGCCATGGTGTCTCAATGGACTAGCGCCTACCAGCTAGAATGATTGTCTCACCTGTGGAGATAAACCCAAAACAACATAGAGGGACTAACAGGACCCCAAAATTCATAGCAACCTCTCTTACAACACCACAAGAACAGGTTTCTCCTTACTGGTACCATGTTCCATCTGAAAGGCCCCCAGCATGTTCTATCTGAAAGGCCTTCCTGGCACATCTAGCAGCCTCATTCCCCATAGCCTACACCCTATATGGTCATTTTCACCAGTGTAAAGTGGGGGTCACACAGTACCAGAAACACACTCTCTTCCACTTGTGTAGATGGCAACACCATAAGCTGCAGGGCAATGACAAATCCAGCCCTGAGTTTGCAACAGTTTCCCAAATCAAGTCCGTTCAACCCTATTTCAGGCTGCGTGAGAAGCATTTTGCCCAGCACGGATGAGCAGTTTGTCCACAGGGCTTCTGGGCAGCTCCGACAACTCAGAACAGTGGATCTCCACTTTAATTTGCAGCGGCACATGAAGGGAAGTGGGACATGAAGACCCATCAGGAAATGCCTTTCCCTGTCTGCCAAGGGATGGCTTGTTGGAATCAGGGTCACTTCACTGCCAGGAAACACAAGAAGCTACATTCAAGGTTTGTGACCGGTAAAGGCGATGGCCCTTTCAGCTGGATGCCGAGGGGAGGAAGATGAGAACACAAGGTTAACTCTAGTCAATCAGACACCAGTGTCCTGAAGTGCCCCCATGAATAATTGATTGTTCTCTTTGGGATTCAGGTTGTCATGGAAACTGAAAGAAGAACCAGGATATCTAGGTATGAAGTGAAGTTTCTTTGGGTCTCTCTCTCTCCCTTCAGGAGTTAAGAGCTGGAGCTACCTTTGGCAGGTGCTTATAAGATCTTACATTGACTCCGAGATGAATTATCTCGCATTGAGCCTTCTGCTGCTCCTGCAGTTATTTTCTTTGATCGGTAAGTATTTCATATATATAATCTAGCTTTAGATGGCCTTTCATGTCTGGGGATCCGAATAAGTTTTTAGATTGCTGAATGTGCATCATGTGACATAGAGATGTCTCTTCAGAACCCATTTTACAGTTTACATCTCTTCATATCCAGAAATGCACCCTGCTTTTTTCCCCCCTAAGATATCTCCTATTTGGTTCCTAGGTTTCCTTTTTAGCTGATTTCCATTCAACAGTCTGCATAGGTGTTTCTTTTTAAAACCGAACAAATCGCGTTATTTGTTTAAATCATCACATTGACAGGAAACCTGGAAATTTAATTGTGTGTGTTATCTGTCTATATAGATCCACCCAGGGTCAATTAGAGCTGGTGTGTCTTCAATAGACCAACCTTTCAGATTAAATTGGCCCGCAGTCAACATTCAATAATATTTGCACCTTGACAAGTTTACTAAGTCTCCAGGGAAACAGACATTGGACTGATTCCAGCATGGATCATTTGCAGATAATGAGAGGAGAATGAGGTCTAGTGGTTAAAGCAGTAAATCTGATGTCCTAGATTATATTCCTAGCTCTGCCATGGGATTACCATTTCAAGGACTGGTGTAAAACGGTGTAAAAGAGGGATAATATTTTAAGGGCATTGTGAGGCTTAATTGATTATTGTAATTTGTTTGGAGATTCCCTGAAAAAAGCTGTGTAAAGTAAAAAAGGAGGTGTGGCGGGTTTACGGGTGCGAGCTCCTCGCGCCCCCTCCTTTCGGCTTCCCACCTGGCTGAGGGGGCGGGGCTCCGCGAACCCACCGCCTTAGTTCACTCTCCTCGTCCCGTACCCGGGGTTCGTTTGCGGAGTCTGATTAGGGTGCGATCACCACTCGGCCTCTGATGGCTGAGGGGGTTCGGCGGACCCTTAGTCCGGGCCCCCTCCTCCAGCCAGAGAGGGGGGGACCCGTAGCGTGGCCGTGGGGTTGGACCAGGGGTAGTTCCTCCTACGGTCCTATCCACCCTGGTCCCAGTTCTCGAGTGTTGCGGGGAGGATAGGGAGTGGGGGACCCGGGCCCTCCCTCACCACCGGGTCCCAGCCCGAGGCCCTAAGTGGAGCTTGGCGTCCAGGCCATCGCCCTCCACGGCGGATGGGGCGGGAGGGGCCCCTGCCCGGGGCTCCTTCCACTCCCCGCTGACATGCCCCGGTGACGGGGCAGGTCGGGGGTCACTCACCGCGCCGAAGTCTCCAGGTCCGTCCCAGCGCGAGTCGCCAACTGCCGGAGCCGTCCTTCCTGGTTGCCCTGGGGGCCAGGAAGTTGACACCCCTGGAAGCCAGGGCGGCCACCTCCTC